AGTTTACTACTTTCAAATGTCCCTTGATTTCAAGCTCTCTTGTGAAGAACAAAGTCCTAGTGTATTTTCTCAAGGACCATGGAATTGTTGCAGAGCCATAATATACAAAGTAATACACTTTCCTTTCTCCCTAAAAAAAAAAAATAGTTGGAGACCTTGAAAACATTGTACTATGTGAAAGAATCAGTCACAAAAGACATTTATATGAAATATCTAGAATAGCCCAATCTTGTAGTGCCAGAAAGTAGATTAGTGGTTGCCAAGGGCTGGAGGAAGAGGAGGACTGCGAGGGGATAGCTACAGTTTCTTCTGGAGGGGATGAATAATGTTCCAACCATCCAGTGATGGTTGTACAAGTCTATGAATATACTATAAACCACTGAATTCGAGAACAAAAAAAATAAATTAAAAAATGAAACCCCAAACCGAAGAACACCCCCTCCCCACCGAATTGTACACTTTAAAGAGGTGAACTGTGTGGTATGTAAATTATATCTCAGTAAAGCTGTCATCAAAATAAAAGGGACTGGGGTGTTCCTACAAGGTGGGATTAGTGAATATCTTCTGTGTGCAAGGCTTGCTCTCAAGGGCCTTCTTTTCCTTTGAAAACTCGTGGACATTCAATATAATCCATAGTGTCACAGAAAAAAATGAATAAAACTCATGGACAAAGTACAAGTGTGCCAAAAATGAGTACTGGCATTAGAACTAAAATCATATATGACAGAGTGATGAGTGACTATCTGCCAAATGATGGGAAGAGACAAATGTTGGATTTAGAGCAAGGACAAGGAACCATGCTAAATCTGGCAATGCTTCATAGAAAAATGACGAAGTGAGCACTGAAGGACTGAGACGGGAAGAATGAGGACAGACAGATACCACCACATAAGCTTCCAAAGGGCCGAGGACATGTGTGATGCTTCAATCAGGCATGGGAGATGGTGGGCTCTGCTAGCATCAAGATGATCAAGAAAGCCCTCCTTTTTGAGCAAGAAACTTAAAAAGCATTTTAAAAACTTTCTATACTGTTAGGAAGTGTTAAGTATTGCCAACTGAATAGCAATTATACTCACTTCCCATCCCAAAACCATCACAAATACCAGAGTTGAAATCAGTGAGAAATTACTATACACTATTTTCCAGGACCTCAAACCACTCTCAGTGAAACATTTGTAAAAACCTACTGGGCTCCATTTACTATTTTTGATAAATGTCAAAGCCCAATCGCAATAACCTCCAGGGCCTCCATTTTGAAACCATCTGCAAGAGCCAGAATTCGAAGTTCTGACTCATTCTCAAGATAAACGGATCAATGACAATCCAATCCGCATATGACATTTCATCTTTTATAAGCCAGTGCATACCAGGAGTTCTGGAGGCCCGTCTTCTGCATCTTCTGCTGATTGCTCTTCCCCAATTTTACTGTAAGAATAAAGAACATGATGCTTTCATCAGTGAACTTCTTGTAGCATAAACGTCTGCTAACCCAGTATCAGCCCAGAAAGTAATGTTAAAACACAAACACTCTCACAAAAACTTATCTCTATACTACAATCAATTCGGTTTTTTTTCCTTTTTTCTTTTTTTCCTTAGAGACATGGTCTCGCTATGTTGCCTAGGCTGCAGTGCAGTGGCTATTCATTTACAGGCATGATCACTGTGCACTACAGCCTTGAACTCCTAGACTCAAAAGTGATCCTCTCGCCTCAGCCTCACCAAACCTGGATACTGTTTATATTTGGTTGAAGGGTGGGATGTTTACTTTCCGGAAATAAGTTAGAGTTGTTCATAATTGAAGCTGCAGAACGAGGGACTGTCAATAATAAACATTAACTCAAAAATCCCTTCAAAATACTGTCCATTGCATTAGAATCAAAAGGTGAAATGTATACTTAAAAAATCTACACATGAACTGATGTGCAATCCCTATACTCAAAGCCTTTTGCATTCTAGGAGGAAAATACAGTTATGCATCAGTACTATAGATCTGTCTAAAGACATGGCAACAAATATGAAATATACAAGCCAAGGAAAGGTTTCTAAGGTTTTTCTCTTAAACTTCAATTTGTAGAATTTGCTAGTGGTCAACAGTGAAATCACCCTTCACATATCAAAATCAGCCCTATCTTATATCTAGCCCAAAGACAGATGTTACTAGTAACAACTGCTAAAAAACAAAACCCAGCCCTCCAAGTGAGACATTATTTTTCCTTCCTATAAAACCAAACTCAAACATGTAGGATTGCTAGACAATTATATTTCTCTTCCACCTGTCAGTACAGTTGCTAACACTCACCATTTTAATCCCAAATTCTATCTAATGTAATTTTTAAAATTTTTTAGAGACAGGGTCTCACTATGTTGCCCAGGCTGGTCTTGAACTCCTGGGATCAAGCAATCCTCCTGGTTCAGCCTCCTGAAGTACTGGGATTGTAGGCATGAGCCACCATGCATGGCCCCCTATCTAATGTAATTTTAATATTAAACAAGCTATGAAATAACTGAAAGAAGAAACTACATACAATGCTCACAAATTATTGACACCTTCTGGGGCAATTCAGCTGCCAGGGCATCAGACTTCCAAACCTTGCTGTACACTTCATACAACCTCTTTATAGTTTTAATTTAGGTTTTTTATTTTACTACTAAAATTGTTTTAACATCAAATACAATGCCCCCAATTGTATGCTTTAAAGATTTTCTACATCTTCAAATATTCATCATGGCAAGAGTTTGCTCCATTAGAACCCTGAACATTAGCTGTTTTAAGTTTTACATACAAGCATTTTATTCTACAGTGTCTCTTCTACATACTGAGGATTACCAACTCTGTAATTAAGGTAGCCTTAGTTTTAATATGCAGGTTGGGCAACCCAAATCCAAAATGCTCCAACATCCAAAACTTTAAGCACCAACATGACATTCAAAAGAAAAGCTCACTGGAGCATTTCAAAATTTGGACTTTCATACTGAGCGCAATGGCTCACACCTGTAACCCCAGCACTTTGGGAGGTCAAGGTGGGAGAATCACTTGGGGTCAGGAGTTTGAGACCAGGCTGGCCAATATGGCAAAATCCTGTCTTTCATTTGTAAAAAGTACAAAACTTAGCCGGGCACGGTGGCGGTGTCTGTAGTCCCAGCTCCTTGGGAGGCTGAAGCATGAGAATTGCTCCAACTCGGGAGGCGGAGGTTGCAGTGAGCCAAGATTGCGCCACTGCACTCCAGCCTAGGTGACAGAGCAAGATTAAGTCTCAAAAAAAAAAAAAAAAAAAATTATTTGGACTTTCAGATTTGAGATGCTCAACCAGTAAGTATAATGCAGAATTCCAAAATCCTAAAAATTCCAAAACCCCCAACACTTTCTATTCCAAGTACTCTGGATAAGGGATACTCAATCTGTACTAAATTTAGTACAGCAATATACTTAATACAAGCAGGGAGTAAATTATTTTTTGGTAATTTTATGATTTAAACTTAAGATGCCATCTTATGGAGAAGTTTGTAACTTTATTAAGTTATAAAGGCTCAGATGAAAAAAATAAAGGAGTCTAAAATTCATAGAACAGCAAATCTGAAGTCAAGGATCTTTAAGAATTGGAAGAAACTCTTTATAAAGTAAGCCCCAGAGAACATAAGCTGACAGCTTGGGCTGTCCTCGTCCCCTTCACAAAGGTCTCCCCAGCAGTTACACAATCCACAGCAGGAGTGCACCTCTGAAGAAACAATCAATGAAAGCAGAGAAAAGCAAATGGTACAAAAACTCAGAAAGAACAATCCTGCCTACATGTACTGTGAGATCTGATGACACACAAAACAGCTAACATCTTGATCTCTCTATATATAGTAAGTATGTTTTAAATACAGTCATTTGAATGCAAAATCAAACACAAACACATATACCTTCATGCCTGAATAAGAAGAGACAAAACTCACATCACAGAAATTTATTTTATGGTCCATTTGCTGCTTCGCTTCTATTTTACAGAACAGACTCTTTAGGAAGATACTTAAAAGTTTCTTTAATATTAGGTTTCTTTAAGGAGGGATTACCAAATTGCTTTTCTAGTTCATGAGTTACTATGTAACTTGACAGATGAGCATATTTATGCAGTATCTTGTCATGGACTGTGAGTTACCTTAAATCCCACACATTCAGGCGGCGGTCAGTACCACTTGAAGCCAGAATAGTTTCATTATGTGGAGACCAGTGGACCTAGTAATAGATAATTTTGAAAATGTATTTAAAGAATCATTCGCTGCTAGGTTTGTGGCTATTGTTCTAATCCGACATTTTCCCATCTTGCACTCCATGATCTTATCCTTGGCCTGTTGTCCTCACCCTCTTGTCCCAGCCTTTCAAGTGCTCTGAAATGGCTCAGCTCCATCTTGTCCTCAGAAAGGCTGCACTCCCCGCACTGAAGAACTCAGCCTGGGGTCAATTTATTCGGCCCCATAACCATCCCAGGAGCTTTTTAATTCTTCAGTAGGGTGTACTTTAACCTATAAACATCTCCATGTAAAACCATGTACAAGGCATTGTTTTCACTAGTGGGCCCACCAGTCTGGTATAGCTTAACTGAAGAATCCCTAGATTTCATTTCCTTACATACAGACACCAGAAAACTGTCACATACCTGGAAAATTTCATCTTTATGAGATTCGAAGGTATGGAGTTTTAATTTTAAGTTACGCAGATCCCATAAAGCTACGGTCTAAAGAAAAATAACAAGTGAAAATGATTTCTACGCTTTACCTAAGAATTTTCAAATATCTGATTAAAATAAGAGAACTGGGTTTTATAAACACCAAATAATGCAAAAACTTCAAAACCTTATCCGCAGAGCCAGTGGCTAGAATAAATTCGCTGTAGGGATTGAATGAGAGGCAATTGACTTCGGCAGTGTGTGCATCCACCAAGTGGCTCGGCTTGGAGGTGGTATTGGACCTGGTGTCCCATCTAAAACACAAAGGTAAAGGCACACAGCACCCAGGGAGGATGCACGAGCCTCCTCAGTTTCTCACACACTCACATTCGGCCCCACGTCACTGTCAATGCACTCCACAACTAGCTCCACTATGCTCACCCTTCATGAAGAACCAACCACACAGTTAGTGTTTCAGACTTTGACCACTAAATGATACATGCAAAACCTACAGAGAACAAGCTAGGGCTGTTAGTCCTGGTTTTTTATTAGATTCCCATTTCAATTACCAACTATTTCAAGCATACAGGAAATAGAAACTATGTGGAAAATAATGTAACAATCTCATACCTACAACTAGCTTTGACAAATGCCCAGTATTTTGTCACATTTGCCTCAGACATTTATGAGATAAGATTATAGGTGGCTGAATGCAGCCCTGTGGCCATATCTGGATGCAATAATTTTCCTCCCTGATCTCAACTTGTGTCACTCTGGATCCCAATTTTGATATTTACCACTACACCAGGTATGTCACTCCACACGAACATACCTATACCTATTTTTTTTTTCTAATAAGTGATCCTTCCACTTCAGCCTCCTGAGTTGCTAGGGCTACAGGTGGACACCACCATACCCAGCTAATTTTCTGTTTTTAAATTTTGTGTAGAGACGGGCGTCTCATACCTCCTGGCCTCAAGCAATCCTCCTGCCTCAGCCTCCCAAGGTGTTGGGATTACAGGAGTAAGCTACCTAAAGCTGTTTTTTTAAAGCTGTAACATAAGCAAAAAAAAAAAAAAAAAAAAAAAAAAAAAAAAAAAAAAAAAACTACAGCCTGCTGCAATCACTGATGGTCATTCAGGTCACCCATTTAACAAGATCCCACTGAACTTTCCACCTTACATCATCAGTTTCTGATCATCAGCAACAGATCCAAACAATGACTCGTGCAGCAGGTGCCAGGCCACATCCTCCACAACAGCCGAGTGGCCGGTAAAGATTGCTTTAGCATCCACAATTTTGCCTTCCTTTGGTCCTGCGTTTATATCCCACAGACAGACAGTCTAAGAGAGAAGAAGAGAAAAAGAAAAAAAGAACAAGGGCTGTAATAGACTGAACTTTTTTTCTTTCAAGATGACGTCTCGGTCTGTCACCCAGGCTGGAGCACAGTGGTGTGATCTCAGCTCACTGCAGCCGTTGCCTCCCAGGTTCAAGCGATTCTCCTGCCTCATCCTCCCGAGTAGCTGGGATTACAAGTGCACACCACCAAGCTTGGATCATTTTTTTTTCTGTATTTTTAGTAGAGATGGGGTCTCACCATGTTGGCCAGGCTGGTCTCATACTCCTGACCTCAGGTGATCCACCTGCCTTGGCCACCCAAAGTGCTGGGATTACAGGCATGAGCCACTACATCCAGCCACATGAAGGAGTTTCTGTAATAGAGCTATTTCCCAGTAATAGCTATTTTCCCAGTAACAAAACATTTTTTTTTTTTTTCTTACACATTACATATGCCGTTCGTCTCTGTAACAGTTACTTACACATGAAGACACTCAATGTACGTGGACTGAAGAGAAAGGAACATGTGGAGATCCTGCCATTCACACCGCCTCAGAAGGATCTGGCAAGATTAGCATGACGCTTGGCATGTGGGGAGCCCCTGGTAAATGTCAGCTATTATTACCACCAATTCCCAGCCTGGTATCTTCAAAAGGTACTAGTAATTGGGTTACTGAGTACAGTCCATTTTCCTTATTTGGTAAA